GACAGCTGAAAAAACAAAATTATAGACCAATATAATTTATGAATATTGAAGCAAAACTCTAAATAAAATATTAGCTAAGAGACTCCAACACCACAATAAGAAAATGTTTCACCATGACAAAGTAGGATTTACCCAGAAATTCAGGATTACTTCAGCATTAGGAAATCCGTTACTATGCTATATCATTTTAGTTAACAGGAAATTAACAGAAAAACCATGGTTGCTTGTATATATGCTGAAATATTCTTTAACAAAACTTGATATTCATTCCTCACTTTAAAAAACTCAAGAATATAAGATTGATGGATTTTTAACTTTTTATTTTGTACTAATTTTAGACTTACAGAAAAGCTGCAAAAATATCACTTCCCATATAACCTTCATTCTGCTTTCTCTGATGTTAACATCTTAGAAAACCACAGGACAGTGATCAAAACCAGGAAATTAATACCAACACAACACTATTAACTGAACTACATTCTTTAATCAAAGGTCATCAGTTCTTCCACTTACATCCTTTTCCTGGTCCAAGATTCAACTGAAGTTATCCACATTGCATGCATTTAGTTGTGTGTGTATCTCCAGTCTATGACAGTTCACTCACTGTCTTTTCTTCTTTTGAAACATATCCCTCAATTTTAGTTTGTTGGATATTTTTTCATGATTAGAAGAAGGTTAGTCCATTTTTGGCTAGTATACCTCAGAAGTGATGTGTCTTTTCAGTGCACCATATCAGGGGTTCATGATATTGGTATGTCTCATTACTGGTGATGTTAACCTAAGATCTTGATCACTTGGTTAAGTTGGTACCTGCTGAGTTTTTCCACTGTAAAGCCACGATTTTTCCTTTTATAATTAATAAATATCTTGAGACAGATACTTTGAGATTATTCAAATACCCTGTTTCTCTTCAAACTTCCATCCAATAATTTTAGCTTACATTTGTGGGAACTGTCTGAAACAGTTATTACTCTGGTGCTTACCAAATGATGATGTTCTATTTCCCTCTTTCATTATCAATTCATTAAGTGGAATTCTTCTGTAAGCAAAAACTATCCTTTCTACGCCGCCTATTTATTTATTTATTTATTTATTTATTTATGTTGGTATGGATTCATATCTTATTCTATGGTTTATAACAATATTATCACTTTATTTGGCCGCTCAAATTACTCCAGCTTCAAAACATTGGGAGCTCCTTCAGGTTGGCCTTATTCATGCTTTAACCAATACATGTGTTATAAATGACATTGTACCAGTTACAGCCTTAAGTTTTAAGAAGGCTTTAGCTCTCGGGAGGTCTGAGATCGCATGTAAGCTCAATATCCCTGCTGGAGGGACCTTGAGGAGGCAGAGCTCCTGATACTACATGGAGAGCGCGTGAGGCCCAGCTGTCCCAGTTGACCTCAGCCTTCTAGCCAACTCACTAGATTGTCAAATTCATGAGGGAACCATTTTGAATGTTCCAACCCAAAGGAACCTGCAAGTGACTAGCCACAAGCCAGATCTGTAACTCACAGAGTAAAACTGCCCAGCTGATCCCAGTAAACCAAGGAACTGTGAGAGATTGTAACATGGTGGTTCTTCTAAGCCACTAAGTTTTGGGGTGTTTTGTTGTGCAGCAATCCATAATCAGAGCCCTTCCAGACATATTGTGCCTTGTCTATCCTCAGCTTTCTTAATGATAGAAGCACCTTCCCTATCATCCACGTACCTACTCAGGCACCATGAGTACTTCCCTACCTGCTATATCAAATCAGTCACCAAGGCCAACTGATTCTACCTCTGAGAACTGTCTCAATTCCTCGGCACTACCACATCAGGTGGGAGAGTGGCAATAGTTCCTCTTGACAGAGTCTGAAAATTATCTCCCAGTTGGCCTCATCGATTCCTCTCAGAATAGCTCTATATACACACGGTTGAATTAGTCACTCATCTGTAAGTATTTATTAAGCTCCAACTGTGTGACAGGCTCTATTTTAGACACAGAATACAGAAGTGAACAAAGACAAAAACATCTGTCTTCATTGATTTAAAAGTCTAGGGGGAGGAAGATGGACATATTAGTAAATAAAACACACAGTACATCAGAATGTGATGAGTGAAATGAAAAGAAATATAGCAGGAAGAAAAAAAGTAGCAGAAGTGGAGCAGGTTTTGGAATTTTAAATAGCGGTTAGGGAAGGCCTCGCTGAGAAAGTAACTGAGTAAAAACCTGAAGGCTGTGAGGGAATGAGCCAAGTGAGTAACTCTGAAAAGAGCATTGCAGGCAAGAGAGCAGCCAGTGCAAAGGACTTAATGTTTTATAAACTTAGTGTAGCCTAAGTGTACAGTGTTTACAAAGTCTACAGTAGTGTATAGTCATATCCTAAGCCTTCACGTCCACTCACCACTCACTCACTGACTGACCCAGAGCAACTTCCAGTCCTGCAAGCTCCATTAATGGTAAATGCCCTACACAGGTGCACCATTTTTTATCTTTTATACTGTGTTTTCACTGTACCGTTTCCATGTTTAGATATATTCAGATACACAAATACTTACTATTGTGTTACAATTGTGTACAATAACATGCTGTATAGGTTTGTTGCCTAGAAGCAAAAGGTTAAACCATATAGCCTAGAGGTGTAGTAGGCTTATACCATCTAGGTTTGTGTAAGTATACTCTATGATATTCACACAATAAACAAATTGTCTAACAACAAATTTCTCAGGACGTATCCCCGTCATTAAGCAGCGCTTATATTTATTTATACCTTAGGAGACCAACTCCGGAGGTGGGGGGAAAGAGGGACAAGAAGGTGGAGAAGAGAGACAAAGCTAGGGTGTTGCAGGAGTGGAGACAAAGGGAAGGAGGAGGAATCAAGGAGTACCGTATAGGTGGAACTGACGGGACACAACAGCCAACCAAATGGGAGGTAGGTTTGGAAAGAAGAAAGACGCAGAGAAAACTCAAAAGACCCAGCTTGTATCACGAGTAGCAGTTGCAGCTGCTCACCTAGACCAGTAAGATCAGAAGAAATGGGAGGGAGGAGAGGCAGAGCCAGGGAAAACCACCATGCGAAATTCGAGATGGAGCTCCCTCTCCTACCTCTGATAAGGGCTACTCTGACTGACTAAATAAGTAAATAAATTTTTAAAAATATATTTTTTTAAACAACTGGGGACAGAAATATTAATTTTTTTGTTGGGTGTAACAATGAAGTTGTGGTTATGTGTTATTCAGAGATGCCTACTGAAGTATTTGAAGGTGAAATGATATGATGAGGATTTGCTGCAAATTACTCTAGCAGGGAAAAGATTAAGTGAAAGCACTGGATAGAATAAGAACAGGATGTTGATAACTTCACAAGCAGACAAGCCCCGGAAATGAGCAGTCTGAACAAGAGAAGAAATGCTAGGGCAAGGATGGAGGAGTCATGTACAAGGACACCAGGTCTGAAATAGTCCCTATGAAAACTGTCACCTTTACAACAGGCCTTGTTTCCTGGGGAAACCAGCGGGGGCTCTGATTACTGCATGAGACAATCGGCACAAGATGTCAAAGTTGAGCAAAGGAAACCCACCAGTGGTGGTTCAGCATACAAAAGGTAAGTGGTTCCCACCTGAAGCTAGGCTGCCAGGAGCCCAGGAGTCCTCCCTTTGCCCACTAGGCAGCCCTCTTTGGGCATGCAGGAGCTGCCAGGGGTAGAGGATGGATGGGGGGGGAGGCGCAGAACAAGAACAAAAAAGTTCAGGGGAGTCACTGGAAACCCTCAAGTACCAGCAGGGTAGGGCCTCCTCTTCCTTAAAGGCATCAGGATTGGACCTGCCACAGAAGAAAAAGACTGTGGACAACTTACTGGGAACAGAACTGATATGTGAGCTATGAACACTGCCTTACCCAGACATACTATTGACGCTGATCCTGAACTGATCCTCTGTCACCTTCGCTCTTAATAAGGAAAATTAATACCAGAGACTGTCTCAGGCACTGTATGAGTTTTACCTCATTCTATCCTCATAATCCAGTGAAACACGATTTATTATCTTCATTTTACAGATAAGAAAATTGAGGCACAGTGAGGTCAGTCTTTTGACCAAGGGGACACAGCTATTAAGTGACAAAGCCTGGATGAAATATGGCTGTGGAGGCCATGCTCTTAAACAGGGCAGTAACGGTGAACCACTGTGAGTTGCAAGGATTCTCAGTGTGTCATTTTGAAATGAATCAAGAATGATTACCAGGTGATAAGCATTGAATCTGGATGATGGGTCTATGGAGTTCTATCTACTTCTGTCTGAAATTTCTCTGTAATAAGAAGTTAAAATGGAATTTAAAATCCCAAAGCCTGGCCATACCAGAGATGTGGGAATCTATGCTTCCTGCGGTCAGTGACAGTTCCCGGGACCTTTGAAAAACTTGCCCAGTGGGCCCCAACCCGGCCTCTTCCTCCAATGCCCAAACCCAGGGGCGGCCTGCCAAATAGAGACCCTAAGACGGTGCCAAAATGGCCACTTCAACACCTAGTCCAAGCCGGGGACGTTTGACCAAGCCCGCCCGTCCCTCGCCCCGCCTCTGCAAAGCGGAGGGGTAGTTGGGCCTAAAGTAAGACAATCAGCCCCCACCTACAAAAACCCAAACACATGGACCCAGGGGCAGCTTCCACTCCACCACCTGGGAAATATCAGGCCCCCAAAGCCTACTTACTCAACTCCTCAAAATCCAGGGACCTCTGGCATAAGCGACCCTTCTCCTTATAACTATATTTCTGCAAGGCCGAACATGTCCCAACCCACAGGAATCCTAGGACGAAAGGCGGGAGCCCAGCACCCACCACCACTGGGCTTCACAGCTGAGCTTCACCCACGTCCCCCGGAGATTTGCGCCCACACCCCCAAATAAGACATCCGGGAGAGCATCGCCTGAGCCACGACAGCGCGACCGCAACGCTACCTCCTCTCTCCGCCATCTGCGCTGTCCCCAGCCTCAGTCCACAGACTAGCCTTTCAGGACCTACCTTTCTGTGCAGGGAGGAGCACGGCTGCGGCAAGGGTACCCGGGAGTCTCACTCGCCAGCGCCACTAAAGAACAAGGGGTCACTTTAGCCCACAGCTGGGGAGCTGCTCCAGCAGGAGCCGGGACTACACTACCCAGAATCCTCGGCCTGGCGCCAGGACTACATCTCCCAGGATGCTCGGCGCAACCAGAAGCACGCTGACGGCCGGCAGCTCCCATTGGCTTCCGAGGTTACTGTTTCTGGGCAGTATTCTCCAGTCGCTGGATAATGACCACTGTGGCACCTGGATTCCTCTTCTTTTTTCTTAAAACCACGTTCACAAAACATGTGGGCCCTGGCTGAAGTTCTCCGCCGTGCCGTGACCCCTCGTCTAACACCTTCGCCTCAAAGACTACACTTCCCAGTGACGCTTGCAGTAATGTCTGCCTCTCCGTCCCTCGGCGCGCGGAAATGATGTCCTGGGACTGGCTGCTGGGATTCTGAGGTTGACGCGGATCGGCCGGGTGTGATAGGTTGTGGAGTTTCCTGGCTCCAGTTACGGGTTGCCAACCTGTACTCGGGATTCTGTGGGCGCCGGGCAGGCGTACTCTCGGCTAGCGAACATACCTTTTTAACTGCAATTATCCCCATGGAGAGACCGAAGGTGGGGGAGATACAGCAGTCTCTCCGGGGTCTGGTCAGTGCGCGGCAGACCCGGATTCTGAGCGCACGTCCTCAACCCAAACACTCCACCTCGGGTTCCCTGAGACCTCCTTCTATTGCGGTCCACAAATTATGAGCAAACTCTCATTCTTCTGAGGGGACAAGAACCTCACTCTTAGGCCATAGCTTGGGGCTGAGCCCGCTTGTCGACTTGGCTCTCTGGATCTTTTTGGGGGGCTTTGGTTGAGAACAGGGCTGCGCAGGTGCCATCTAGGACCCCTCAACTAGCAAGCCCCACTTCACTTGTAGAAGGGCATTTCCACCGCAGCACCCTCTCAATTCTCTTTACTTAGGTATGCTTTTTGAAACTTAAACTTCTCTAGGAAGACCACGAAAATGTCCACGTAGCCCAGATAGCCAGGAGGAGAATTCCTTCGTAGCTCTCGAAGGCTGAAATCATTCTCTTCCAGCTTTTTCATAATGAATTCAGTTCCGCCCAGCAGGCCCGGCTAAGTGCCTAGTCTTACTTAGAACCTTATCTCGACATTTCTCAGAGCTCCAACTGTAACTCAGTCATTCACCCAGAAATTGGCAGTTAACACACAAGAAAGTTAAAAGTAACAATACAAGGACTTCCACGTTTAAGTGTCAAGTGATGCTATATGCGGATGGCTGGGATCTCAGGGTCCTGACGATAAGAGACCAACGGAGCCTTCTAAGAGGAGGGGCTGTCTGAGCTTCCCTGAGGGGAATAGACAAGATGAAGAGTTGGAGAAAGGCCAGTGGGGAGAGAGTAAGAAGCAAGGCCAGAGTCTCAGGGTCTGAGCCATCGGGAAGGCTGCCCTAGACTCAGGGTGGTTTTCAGTAGCAAATGGTCTTGCATCTGACTGATTTTCCATGCATGAAGGCGAAGATGCCATCTAACTGTACATGTGTGTCATGCAGATACTTGGTTTGATCAGCCTAGTGTTTTATATTTGAAAGAGTTCTCAGCATTTAATAATTAGGAGATTCCATGTAGAAATCTGGATTGCCTGCTTTCTAATATTCTCCTTGCCTCTTTCTCCATCTCCTCCTTCCCTGTAGTACTTCCCACCCCACTCCATACCTCATCTGGAATACCTTGCCTGCCTCTCTTTCCTAACCCTTCCAGATCCTGTCCATCCTTCAAGACCAAATTCCCAGCTCTCTTTCATGAAACCTACCCTGCTCTCTATCCTGTGGTGACTTCTTGAGATTCCTCTGACCCTGGATGTGCCTGGGAGCTTTTAAAAATACAGTGCCTGAACACCATGTCCAAGAGATTTTGAGTTTGGGGTGGGGCCCTGGCATCCATTATTTGTAACAAAGCTGCTTTCACCCCAAGAAAGTAAAGTGTCATATGATAATGTAGAGAAAAGACTCTGTTTTGGAAAATCAAAAGTTGTTGGTTAATTGTTGTTATTACTGAACTGTGTATGTGGTAGATTATTTAGCCCAGTGCTTCTCATGTTAATGTGCGTACATATCACCTGGGATCTTGTAAACATGCAAAGTCTGAATCAGCATGGCTGAGGTGGAGCCCAAGCATCAGCATTTCTAACAAGTTTCCAAATGATGTTGACTAAGCTTCTCAACATCAGACCACATTAAGTAGCAAAGATTTGATCCATTCGGGGCTCAGATCCTTAAAGCTAATAAGTTAGATCAAGTAATCTTCAAATTCCTAAAACTGAGATGTTTTATTTTTATGTGGTTTTCCTAAATTTAAAACACCTCAAGGTTAGGAACTCTATTTTTGCTTGTAAACCCCATAATAGTCAGAATAGAACGTAGAGGTAAACATGTGATTCTGGTTGGATAGAGAACAGCGTTCATGGTTTTGGAATCCAAGCACCAAGATTCAAAAGCAGGATCTAGACATTTTACCTCTCTTCCTGAGGGCAGCCTTTTTGCTCCTTCACTTTGAACCGTGGGCAAAGCTGACAACAGTGAAGAGAGCTGTGTTTGGCATAGCAGGCTTTCATGGCATTCAGGGTTGTGACTGGATTTTATCTAGGAGATGTGGAGGCTGTAGAGTGCTGCTTTGAAGAACCTATACAGAGAGGTGATGCTGAAGAACTACCAGCAGGCTGGTCTCACTGAGTAACAATGGCTTCCCTTACAACTTAAAATCTGATCCACTGAGCAGCTTAAAGCCCTTAAATGCAGAAAAGGCAATGGATGCAGCAGCTGCCAGGCATAACTGACCTGTGCCACAGGATTGGACTTGACAACAATGATTTGCTTTTCCATGTCTCCCTCTCACCCCCTGGGATAGTCTGATTTTTTTGTTTGTTTGTTTTTTGTAATTGTACATTGAGAATAGGTAGATAGGGGTGTGTGTGTGTGGCAGTGGGGGGGGGGAGAAGGAGGGGGAGAGGGAAGGAGGGGTGTCTATACTTCAAGCTTTTTCTCCAGGCTGGATTTTCTTCCTAGATATTCTTGCTTCAAGAGGGGAAGATTTTTCGCCCACCTACTAGGGAGTAGACTTAATATGCTGTTTGCTGATCTAAGTTCCCTTCCCTTACTCATCCCCTTTTCCACTGCTGAGAGTTCTCTCTTCAGAGGTGCCACACTATGGGCTTCCCCACCCAGTTTAGCTTTGAGTTCTAAAATGGCAGCTTAAGCTATTCCCTAGAGCTGCCTCAATATTTTTCCCTATTAGCAGGAATTCCATTTTTCCACACCAAAAGCCATCGCCTAGTGGAGCTGTCTAGTAGGACCCACAACATCTGCTGGGCCCCTGTCCAGATGAGGGGGAGCTGAGTGCAGTTGGCACAGCAGTTAGCAGGTCAGGAAGGAGTAGACATCATTGAGGTACTAGAGAGGAAGCTGTGCTCGCTTCCTAGGCTGCTGTTAAGACTGCCTGGGGCCGGCCGAGTGGCGCGATGGTTAAGAGCTGGCTTGGGACGCCAGAGGACCCTGGTTCAGATCCCACATATGAGGGCCAGTGACACTGCCCTCTACAGCTAAGATGCTGAACAACAGCTCAACCTGGAGCTGGGCTGCCATGAGTCACAGGAGACAGTGTATGTGTAGCCCATGCTGCAGTGGGTTGCCATGGGCTACCGTATGTAGCCAGCAGCCAGCATGAGCGGCCAGCAGCTGCAGTGAGCGGCCGTCCAGAAGCCGGCGACTGATCTGCCTCTCCCAGGAAGAGCGCAGTGATGGTGCCAACTTGGGCCAGTGAAACAACGTCCTCCACAACTAGACTGAAGAACAAAACGACAGCAACTTGTCTGTTCCCCTTCCCCCAATTCCCCAGCACTGTTCCCATCCCCCAATTCCCCAATAAAAATCTTAAAAAAAAAAAAAAAAGACTGCCTGGCCTTGCCTTCTTTATAGATTTTCATCTTTATCCAAGAAAGGGGTTTCTGGTATACTTTGTCTCCTTCCTCTGCTGGGAAACAGTGCTTCCTTTCCTGGGCTTTCCTTCTGTAGCTTATACAGTCTCTCTATTCAGGCATTTCTTTCTGTTGGCCTTCTTTATTTAAAAAAAATTTTTTTAAGGATTTTATTGGGGAACAGTATGTTTTACATGGTTGTAAAGGTTGACAGGACCTTTCAGTTCCAAGTCAAGTAGTTGTCTTCAGTCTAGTTGTGGAGGGCACAGCTTTGTGGCCCATGCGGAGATTGAACTGGCAACCTTGGTGTAATGAGCACTGCACTCTAACCACCTGAGCTAACTGGCTGCTCTCTGTTGGCCTACTTTAAATGAGCACCAACCCTGTGTGCCTCAGGCTGCCCAAGAAATTGTGTGTTGAATGTAAGAGGGAGGCAATTAATACCTTTCTCCTACTTGGCGTTTTTGAATGCTAAGCCAACAGGTTTGCTTTGGGACATTTGGTACCAATTAGCAAGTGCTTGCCATCTCCAAGTTGGTCAGATCATGGTTTTCAGTGCATGAAACATAAAAGAGTGGCACTAATGAGCCTTGTGAGGAGACAAGAAGCCCCAGTCTCTTGGTATATGTCATACCTTTAACTTTTATATACAAGGTCTGACAATTAAGTTCATGAACTTGTTGAAACAATGTTGCTAACCTTTTTTGACATCAGAGAGATTACTCATTATGAATTTGTACTAAATGGAAAAACAGTTAACCAAGTTTACTATTTGGAAGGGCTGAAAAGGCTGCATGAAAAAGTGAGATGACCTGAACTTTTCGCCATTAATTCATGATTCTTGCATCACGACAATGCACCAGCTCACACAGCACTGTCTGTGGGATAGTGTTTTGCCAGTAAACAACTGTATTGGAACACTCTCCCTACTCACCTGATCTGGCCCCCAATGACTTCTTTCTTTACCTGAAGATAAAGGAAATATTGAAAGGAAGACATTTTGATGACATTCAGGACTTCAAGGGTAATATGACACAGCTCTGAAGGCCATTCCAGAAAAAGAGTTCCAAAATTGCTTTGAAGGGTGGACTAGGTGCTGGAGTCAGTGCATAGCTTCCCAAGGGGAGTACTTCGAAGGTGATTATAGTGATATACAGCAATGAGGTATGTAGCACTTTTTCTAGGATGAATTTGCAAACTTAATTGTCCAACCCCTTATGTTATGAACCCCCATCTTATTGCATTACATTTAAAGAGTTAGCTGTATTATAAGGAAATTAAGAGAAAAATAAATCTTACATTGTAGTGTCAGCACTTGACATTAAGCTTTTGATTGCCAAAGCACGCATTTCAGAGACATCCATCTCAATTAAACATTGCCGGCTGTATGACAAAGCTACCAGCTACAGAACTAGATAAGGAACAAGATTGGCCCCTCTGTGAAGGTCCCTCTCACAGAAAGACCTGGGTGACCTAGATAACTGATCACTTGAGTGGCCCTGCTTTTCCCTTCCCACACCCTAATTCCCACTCTGATATTTTAAATTTGGTTGTTGTATCTTTAAATAATTTTCAGCCTCTTTCTCAATATAGTCTCCCTTTGTGTCTCCAATTACACATATGTGTAATTGGACCATTTGATTGTCCCATAGTTCACTGAGGCTCTGTCCAATTTTCTCCAGTGATGTGACCCGTGCACCAATCGAGTGTTCCTGACTCGTCAGCCAGGAACCCACTGAAAGGGAACCTGAGAGGATTGGGTGGGAGACTGGAAAAGAAAGAGACTAGAGACGAAAGCTGGGGACAGGAGGTCCACCCAATGCTGATGGCAGAGAGTGGCCTCGTTTATTATTTGTATACAGCTTTTATAGCAAAAGTAACTTTTCTAGGGTTGGGGGTCTTTGGGACCTTAAGGGAGTAGCCCCCTCTTCTCAGGGAACAAATTTCTTGGAAGCAATCTTTCTGAAGCAAGACAAAACAAAGTATAGGAAGCAGAAACTGTTAACAGGATGGCATTCCACTCTGTAGCTTTCAAGCCTGTTGCCATTTTCTCCTCAGCAGCCAACCTTCCCACACTGCTCACCCGGGCCTGAGAGCCTGTCAGCCTGCCAGCTCTCAGGCTTAGCCCTTACTGCAGACCTCCGGCTCCCTACATCTCCCCCTTTTTTATTTATTATATAAAGGCAAACCTCTGATTTACTGAGGCTGCGGTTGGCTTCGCGGCGGCTGTGTCTGCCTTGGGTTGTCCTCCTCGAGGAACGGAATCTTACCCGTCATGGGCTAACCAGCCATCTTACGACTGGTGCCTGTCTTAGGTTGTTCCTTCCTGGGGGATCTTACCCGTCATTGACTAACCAGCCAGCTTATAGCTGGCCCTCTACGACTGTGCCTGGCTTGAATCATCCCTCCCCCAGGGAACTTACCCGCCTTTGGCTAACCAGCCGTTCTGTGGGGCCAAGCCTCACGGAGCCAAACCTGGGGGTGGGAATGGAGCATGAGCATCGGACACAAAAGTGCTTTGTTAGAGGGTGAGCAGCGGGACCATATGGAGAACTAACAATGCTGTGGATGGGGATATTTAATCTCTACCAAGAGTCGTGTGCAACGAGCCTCTAGGCTAAGAGCTTGAAGGCGAGATTTCAAAACTGCTTGGCAAACTGAAACAAAGCACAATATTAGAAGCAAGAGAACCAGAATCCCTACTAAGGTCCAGGCAATAATCTGGACAATAGAGAAATTGATTTGAACTTGTTAAATGTGTTAATTATATCTTCAACTATATCATTTAGGTTAGTAATACCCAGTTTGTTATCCTGCATAGTAATAATCTTTTTATGAAGCATGTCGAGGTCAATGTTAACATTTGTACTATGTCAAATGTGTCCTCCAACGCACTAAGGTGGAGCTCAATTTTTGTATCTATATCTTCTTGAGTGTGGAGCGCTGAAGAAGCATTTTGAGTAAGCTGTTCAACATAATCTGCTGTTTTGATAGAATTGGTTAGAGATACAATGGCTGTGATTGCCATGTCTATGATAGAAATAACTGCTGCAAGGCCTGTAATGAGAAGTCTGACTAAGCTGTCATTTTTGGCTTAAACCCTTGTTTATTTCCTCAAGGGCTTGTATCCTTGGATCATCGTACCAGGATCTCTCATTAATGGTGGGAATTACAATATAAGGTGGTTGGCGTAGGATTAGAATCCCTTGCCCTTTGTCTTGTGGACCAATACAATTGGTGATATGGCAATTTTGACAAGAAATATT